CGTCGGAGGTCGTCCGGAGAAGTTCGCATTTTCACCCGTCCTTTGAGCTTAATTGAAGTACGATTTCGCGCAAATCCGTGAATTTCGTGTACTTTGTGTGTGTACGTGACGAAAAAGTCGTGACGAATGTTTTCCTAAGGCTTGAAGTCCTATTTGGAACATTTTCCTTGAATCTTCGCAAAACAGCCCATAACCGCTCGTTCATAAGACGATGGTCTTGTGCCAAAGATGCTAGACATCAAAGGAAAATAGGAATTCGCTGGAATTTCTAGAAAGGTGAGTCTCAATTCTAGTTTTCTAAGATGGTCCATAGGAATTTCTAGAGCTAGAACCTAGGCTCTAAGGAGGAGAAGAAAAGACCTCACAAAAATGAGGTCAACAGTCATGTAATCTAGTTTTAATGTTAAAAACTCCGATTTTTTGTCAACACTTGAATAAGTTTTCCTTATCACATCCCTTTTTTTTGTCGTTTTGTACTGGAGAAATTTTCTTTAATTTTTGTGGTTATAAAGTTGACAAGTCATCTCATGATCATATGATTTTTAATCTTCCATGTCTGATATTTAGGATTAGTAAATTCTGGTGCATGTAGTTTCTCGGCTAGATGATCATCTTTTCCTTTACCACAGATGTTCATGAAGTCCGATTGGGAGCAATGGAGAAAATTGTTTCCATGTAGCTTCTAATTGGTGATGTGGGAAGAGATTTCAAATTTTGTGTAACTCAACATTCTAAGTTCACATTCAGCAGAAACTTCTGAAGAGGAAAAGTTAACTTTAATGTCGTATTTGTTTATTATGATGAGGCGACTGTAGGAGCTTCTCTAGGGATTCATGTTAGAAGTTGTCTGTTTCCGATGAAGGATTTCTCCTATGGAGAAAATGATTTTCATATTTGGGCCACTAGAGAGAGAATCAAATCTCAAATTTGGGATTTCCATTACAGAGAGAAAATCAATTGTCAGATTTGGGATTTCCACGAGAGAAAAATCAATAGTCAGATATGGGATTTTAGCCAGTGAGATAAATCATATGGTTGTCCGTAGAGAGAAGCCTGCGGGGATCATGACAACAAAGCGGTGTTGATTTTTGGAAGCCGTTTGGAGAAGTGCCAACGAACAAAGCAACAATGATTTTCGAAAGCCATATCGAGAAGCAACAACACAGACTAAGGGAATCGTGACAGGAGCAGTGATGATTTTTGGAAGTGATGTCTGTTTGGAGAAGCGAAACTAGTGTAATGACTTAATTTGGGATACGTTCGATTGTCACGAAAAAATCTGCAAGGAGAAGCTCTGGTGAAAAAATGAGTGCTTGGGTTTGTAACCTAGCTCTGATATCATGTAGAAAATTTGGGAAACTTTCTTAGAGTAAAATACTCTCTAATCTTCTCATAAGTAAATAGTAGATATATATATAATTCAGATTAACCCTCATATACTTGAGGGAAATTCAAATTAACATGATTAAAAGGAAAGAAATAAAAACACAATAACATATAATTAAAGGAAAATGTAATATAAGTTGATTTTTGATGATTAAACTTTTATGTTCCTCAAATAGTTAAGAGGTTTGTTAAAGTTTAACAATATAAGTAGCATTAAAATTTTAACTTTTATGAAAATCATTAATAATCTTCTCATAAGTGATGTTTATGTTTTTGCATGACCTAGTAGATCTATTTTGAGATTTGAATTACAAAACTCAACAATCTAAGATGTACAGAATCACAACTTTCATGTTCCTTTAATAATTAGACTAGTAGGGTTAATGACTTGCTACAAATGTTGAAAACTTCTTTCTTGGAGTTATTATCTCATGATTAAGGGAAACAGTTCTTCGATGTCAGTTTTTCCGTAACATGTTTTGCTTTTAAACTCCTAAATTAATTTATTATTATTGGCATACATCTGCTCTTGTTTCTGTGTGCCAATTTTACTATTAGGGACTTTGAATGCACATGCATGTGTACTTATATGTTCTCCTGAAGCTATGCCCTTGTTATGATTTTAGTTGCCGTAGTAATGGCATGCGTGATAATATTAGGATATCTTTTCTGCCACTAAGCAATTAACGTAGCTTGAAGGCCAGAAGGAAATGTTTGCCTGTGTTTCTTCTCATATGCACCTTTTTTTCGCCTTGCTAGTATGTGCGCCATTTCGCACTGCATTAATTGCTGTATATAAAATTGCAGTAGCAACTGGTATGTCGTACTTGAATCCTTGGCTGAGTTGCTTGGCTTTTCAAGATGGATATACTGATAAATTTGATTCTAGGAAGGTATTAATTGCTCAATTACTGGTGGAATAAAGTCTCCATGTACTGTAGAAAAGAAGGCCTTTTTTATTAAGTTTTTCTTTGTAATGTTTTACATTTGCTAAAGTTCCCGTGTTTTTTATCTATTATTGTAAGTAACAAAATTTTCTAACAGAGAAATGTATTGTTCGTTAAAGTTTATTAGAGGCCTGACTGGTATAATGATCATCGTGCTGTGCAACAAATTTGTCATGATTTATAGACTGATTATCATTTTCCTTGTAGGTTTTTTTCACAAAAAACATTTCAGAGTGCCTAAAGGTGTGACTGTGACTAGTTACACTTGTTTTAAATGCAAGGACAAAGAAACTACTTTAGCAAAACCAACATCTCATAAAGTATCTGGCTTGAAAAGAAAGGCTTCCATTGCTAGGAAGGGAAAAATGGTCACCATGTCGAAGATGTCGAAGGAAAATGAACTTTCCACTTCTAAGCTGGTCTCGATGGCCAAGTCAAGAAAATACCAACCAGCCACTGCAGAGAAGTCAAAAGCAAATACGGTTTCCTTGGCTAGAAGATCAAGAGAAAATATAGTTTCCATGGCAGTTCATCGCAGGAAAAATCCTGTCCGCTTGGCCCGGAAATTGAGACAAAATCTAATCTCATTGGCTAAAAATTCAAACATAAATCAAGCAAAAACAAGAACTAAATCAAGAAGTGCTATAGTGAAAAGGAAAAGGATGGTGGTTAAAAGTAAGGGACATGGTATTTCATCTAAAAAAGCAGAGTCGCTAAAGTTAGATAATTTTATAAGCTGGTGCACGAAGAAGAGATCTGTTCTGCGCCATTGTTATTGGTTAAATGGCCTGCTGTGGGTAAAAGGAATTTCAAATGAGAGAGGAAAATCTTTCAGAGAAAAAATGGTTCTTCTTGGGATTCAGTCTCAAGGAGATTTCTCCGTTCATCCCATGTGTTGTCTCTGCCGTGAAGATTTCAATGCTGGAGATATGTTTATTTGCTGTGAAAGCTGTGGAGGTAATTCGGTTATTTTAATATGCTAATTACTTTGTTTCATTAATCTGCTGGGTGACCATTTATTTGGCAGGTAGCTGAGATTATCTTCTAGGATGCTAGCGGTGGCGTTTAACTGAATACAGATGGCAAATGTCTCTGCAGGACTAGTTTAGATTTTACTATTTATTTTAAACATACAGATCTTTGTTTCCATGCCCATTTGCTTACAGCCATTTTTATTCTGTACTGTCTGGTGTATGAAAATTGGTTTCTTCTCAGTAATTCACATTACCTACTTTACCGTTACTGCAGATTGGTTCCATGGTGAGGCATTTGGTCTTGAGCTCGAGAGTGTGAGCAATCTAGCTGGGTTTAAATGTCCTAAATGTCGCAGGAGAAATTTCCCAGTATGCCCATATTCGAAAGATCCAAAAAGTTGTGTTGTTAAGCTGAACAACGACTGCAATGTTGCTGGCGTCACTGTGGATGTTCATCATTAAAAATGCAGAGACAAGTTATAAAATGCGACTTGTGAATGTTGCTTGATTTAAATGCTTATGAAATTCATTCAGAGCTGAAAAGAGGAGTTGTTCATTCAAACTTTGAAGATGAAATTGTCTTGTCCGGTCAAAATATTTCAGGCTAATCCAGCACTGTGCATCCACCTTGGCTTGAAGAAGAACATATTGTATTTTCTAATGATGAGAGTGCTTAAAATAAGGTTGAAATCACATAGTATGGATGAGAGTATGAAGAGAACATCAAGGTCCACTGAAGTGTTTTTTAACTGGACTTGGATCTTTTTCAGAGCGACACCTAGAAGACGATGTTTTCAACATTCATCATTAATGATGAAGGTGCCAATGTTCAAGTTATCATTAGATTTAACTGCATTTGTGCACCTTTCTTATTTTTTGATATTCATTATTTATTAGCTATTATTTTCAAATGTTTTCTGTAGGTTTCTTGCTTTTTTTCATAACGTGGGTGTTTTGTAACTTCATATTTTTTACATTTTGAAGCTGATGTATTAGTATTTTTCTTTTCTTTACTAAGCATGAATTTATTTTTTCAATATTTAGGTTTTACATAAACTTAATGTATGTTCTGATACATGTTTTGTTCTATGTGGACAGCATCATTTTATCCTTTTGTTTAAAGTTTAAATACTGATTTAGGACAATCAATATTGTAAACTGTCTGCAATACTACAGAAAATAAGGAGGTGATGAATAGGACCTCAGAAATCAACAATTAAATTAGAGGGAAAAGAATGTGTTTTTTTCATGAGGATGATTTCTAAGGAAGGAAATGAATGAATTGCTATCATAATTCATTGGAAGATTCTTGTTTATTTGAATTTCAAATTTATATCTTGCTTTCATTTGGAAGTTATTATAGAAGTTAATGAGGTTACCAGGTATCCTATAAATATTTTATTGTTATCCTTGATTGAGAATAAGTCAACTCGAAACTATTATGGTCCTAGAACCTATGATTGGGCTGGATAACTTGATGGAGTTGCTTAAGGCTTCACAATTGACATAGATTTGGTGGAGTGACAAAGGAAAATCATATTTCGAAGTAATTCGATGATTTGGGGAGTAGTATTGTGTCCCGACCCAACTTGGGATTTGGAATTTTTCAAGGAAGGAACTAACAGATTGTCCAGTCATTTTTTACAACAAATTATATCTAATTCAAAAGAAATGAAAGAACCACTAAAGAAAGTAAATTGAAGTAATAAAACATAATTTACCTTATTTATGGTTTTGAGTGTGTTCTATAAATATTTTTTCTTCTATTACTTTTTTTTTAATCAAATAATTAAATATAAAATATTAGTTTAAATTAATAGTGAGCTAACTATGGTCAGTGAATAGTGATTATTCATACTTCGAAATTACATTAACATATTAAAAAAGAAGATAATATGCATGTCAGTTAAAATTTTAATAAATCAGTATAAGAGCATTTCACAATTTATATTTTTGAATATGATCGATCAAGATATTTCAATCTCTTATTACATCATGCCATGTAATTTCTATATCTATATATACAATCGTCATAGAAGCATGATCTAAAATTATACCAATTAAGGTACTTAAATATCAATATCTTTTTCCAATTACATGCACCATGTTAGTGTTCTAACATTAGTATCATAAATGAGTAAACTCCATCATAGTCAACATGCACATACAATTACTTTATATAATCCATATTATTCAATATGTAATATTTAATCAATAATGCATAAAACATTTCAAATTAAGAAACTATAAGCATTCATATCAACATGATTGATAAAATTACATAATAGGGAAAACAAAATAACATCCTATAAGCACATTAATCAAACATCAATAATATATTATACAACTGGTTTAGAAGCGATGGAAATGCCACAGTATCTTAAAAGTAGGACTCACCTTAATCAGACTTCAACCTTCAAACACTTTTGAACTTCATCTTGAATGATTATATACCTATAATATCTTTATAAATAAATAAAATTTAAACATATTATTTAATTATGCTTAATTAATCTTTCAATCAATTATGTTATTGTTGTTCATATGAATCCTTCATTTTAAGTATTAATATCTCTTTGATTAAATTATTAACCTTATGACTATATTTATTTAAAATTAAATTTCTTTTGTTTTATTATTATTTTGTTTCTTAATATATATATTTCAACATTTCTTTTGTTATTATATATTAAAGTTATTTTAAAGTCTGATATTTCATAAATTAAAATTAAGTTAATTTTGTTTCACTTTAATTAAAAATAAATAAAATACATACCTAATTCATTAGGTATAAAATTTACTTAAAAGTCATTTTAACAAAATCTCACGGTTTCACCTTGAACTCTCTATGCTCGAGTATGGTATCTTTCATCCTTTCATTATAGTGCGCATTTTCTGTTTCTGTCCAGACACCTGACACCTGACGTACCTCTACGTGCGGCGTAGGTTATTCCTGAGTTATTTTCAGGTTATTTCTGGGTTATTTTTAATAATCCCGAAATATTCCAGAAATAACCTATTTGATGAAGTCCTTCCTCCCCTCCTCTGTTTTGTCCTTGCGCTTGAGATGACGTTTATGTCTCGACTTCGACCTACCCATGATGTTGCCCTCAACTGGTCGACGATGACTCTTCTCTCAGCTTCAATCACAGTTTTGTCTCCCTCATTGAGCCCTAACGCCTCATCTCCTCTCTTCAAAGAGCACAGATGTTGTCACTGGTTATCTTCATCGCCTTTGGCTCTTCCACAAAGGCTAATATTCCTCATTCTTATTCTTCTTCTTCTTCTTTTTGCCTCCTTCTCGCTCTCTCTGACTCTAGGTCATGCGGGAAATCACTTGCTCAATGCTTGCAGTGCTTAGTTGGGTTCGTCCGATCCTTCTCGCTTTATGTTTGCTTCCTTCATCTTCCTCCCTTTGTCTCTATTTAAATTGTGTTAACTAGTTTAATTTGTTTTTCATAATTTTGTGTACACTCACGTTTTTATGTTTTCATATGTCATATAATTTAATATCATTTAGAAATCTCTCATTAGCAAGAAGGCACCTTAACACTACATTTTAATTTATCTATCTTTATTTCTTTAATCTTTTGACAGAGCATGTCACTTAAATCAGCTAATATGGAAAAATTTGAGAGATGATCCAAAACGGTTAATGATTTCACTATTGTGGCAAAAAACAATGGGGATAGGCTATTACAAGTTCGACTATCCCTTGAAGCTGTAATGGGCTTGTTTAATCAACCAAACTGTAGGCTATATAAACATCAATTATAGGTCTAACCCATAGTAAATTTTATGTAGAGGAGAAACCCCACAATAGGCCTAATAAATGGAACATAAACTATTTCAAGGAGTGAATCATGTTAATGATGGCTTTGATTTCGGTGACGATAAAAACTCCTAATTAATGGTATTTAATGATCTCAAAAAATTTCCTGACTGGCTTGATCAAATGGATGATTTCGTTGATTGATATTAAATGGGTGATAATCATTTAATGGCTTTTGCCAAATTAAAGCTTAGGGGCCATGCAAAATTTCTTGGTGTGATATTTTGGCAAAAGTAGAAATATTAGGAAGAAATTTTCTTACTGTGAGTAGAAATGAAGGAAATATTGATACTAAGTGTTGTCCCAATTATTATCATAAAATGCTCATTGGTCAGTTAACGACCTTTGGCAGCAGAATATGATGTTAATAAATACATGAACACATGAGGAATTAATGGTTATGACTACAACACAATACACTCCCTAATCCAATCAAAGGTCTACTATTAAACCTAATGCTCTCCTTGTTAGTGTTCCCAATTTTAATAACTTTATTAATTTCACTTATAAGGATAATATAGATGTCCTTTGGTTAAAGTTTCACCAAAAAAAGGCATATACAAAACCAGTACAGTGCCTCAATGTTGTTTTCAATAGAGGGTCATGATCTAGAGGCTAAGAATATTGAGGAGGTCATTGATAGTACTTCCCATTCTGATGATAAATTTCTGAGACATGCATGAGCACAAAATTAAGTTGCATAGGATTGAGCTACCTATTGCCATGGAGTCCACCCATACTATTTACCCATTTTTAATTGCACCCATTTTAGAGTCAGAATTTATTACTAAGAATTTTAGGTTTAAGAGTTTCTCTAAAATAAACAATTCCTTATCTTGCACTAACACATGATGTGTCCCACCTTGATGGCACACTTTTTATAAAGCTAGTGAGAGTGTATGAGTTGGACAACATCATTGTCTTAGAGCTATTTGATTTCTCTCTTATTTTTGGTCAATGTATGACTTTCATCCCAATATATCTCTTCATATATCTGATGCACATGCACTACCATATTCTATATTTACTTTTACTTTGTAAGTTATTGGTTTACATAAAATTGTTAAGAAATAAATTGAACAAAGTGATTGCAAACATACTAAATTTTTGAACAAAGCTACATTTATAAAAGAATTTTAAAAGGGTTATTATATGATATTTTTTATCAAATTTGAAAGATATACCCCCTGATACTGGACTTAGTAAACAGCAATGAGAAAAACAAATATTATTACTAAAATAAAATAAGAGATTACAATCAACCTAAACAGAAATATGAAATTGCTATAAATATTACACTAACTCCCATTAGGGTTGGATTAAGTGTAGTGGAGGTGGTCAGTGGTGGAATGTGACAGGATGGTGGACAAGATGGTTGGCAAGCAGAAAACAATAAGGCAACGGTTTTCCATATTTCAGACGAAAAGAACTTAATAGAGATCAATGTGGAATGGCTATGTTGGATGATGACCAAAAGAGGAAGGTGGCTGCTACAAGGGTGGAGAGCTGGAACAACGATGAAAACAAAGATGAGGGATGGAACAACAGTTAAAGTAATGATGGAGGGCTGGAATTGTGATGACAAGAAAGATGAAGGGCTGTAACAAGGACTTCAACAAAGATGGAGGGCTAGAATAGTAGCGACAATGAAGATAGAGGGCTAAACAGTGGGAGGCTGCAGGAAAATAACAAGCGACTATTTGGGGAGGATGCAGTTGGGAAGGATGACAGGGATCCATGTAGAAAGGATTTGGAAGAGTTGAGGGAAAATAAATCAGCAACTCAGGAGCGAGATATAATTAGAGCACTCTCGATGAGAAAGGGAGACGCCAGCGACTATATTAAACAACACACGACAAAAACTCCCTTTAAAACATGATAAAGGAACATAAATAGTTTTAGGAGTAGAACCCACCCCCATAGGTAGCAATTCCATGACTAGAAGGATCCACCGGTCCATCCTATGCTTGGATCGAACAGGTCTATGTACGGGGACGCGGCAATTGTCGTGCCAATTGACGGACAATGCCCCGTGTCACCCTCAAATTCAAAAGCCTACATGCAAAGACATGTGGGGCATTTAAAATTATTAAAAATAAAGTCCCAATTTTCTATAGATTCTCAATATTTCTAATTGTAGCTCCATAATTTTG